TATCCTCTCTCTTCTCATTCCGACCGCAAAACACTTCCGGAGACGACATTTGCGGCAATACTTACGACTCAACACATCTATTGTACAGTTGTTGTCATAAATACAGTTCAATGACTCGTATTTGTGGACATTTCTACGAAATGTTGTTTTACACGACTCGCATGAAATCGCGCCGTAGTTTTTGCCTAAATTAGCATTATTATAAGCAATTAGCAATTTTATTAATAAATTTTTATTTGTTTGTCAAATACAAGTAAGTTTAATTTACCTCTCGCTTTGCCGCCGCAAACTAAACATTTGTCATTATTTACATTAATAGATTCCATATTTTGTTGATTACAATTAAAAGTATTAATTTAATTGCATTTATTATTAATGATGTAGATAAAATTTGTTAATATCTTTATTATGTTAAACTGTTTAATCTAGATTATAAAATAAACATACTAATTACACAGCTAGTATAATTTATTCATAAAAATTATAAAGATTGTATAACATTTCGTTCAAACACATTTATATAAACAATGTAATTTTTATTAACAATTATGACTATTCAACGCAATTTACTTTTATAATACAAATGAATTTTGAAAAATTACGTTTACATTAAACATATTTTAGAAATAACAAATTAATCATGATATCCATGTGTTTAATGCTGTTTAGTTGTATTTTGAATTAGAATTTTATAATATTTATAACATAACGTAAAATAGTCTATGATTGCAAAAATAGTAATTTTACCTTGGCAACAGTAAAACAGTTTTAATTGGAGAATATAATTAATTTTTAAGTAATTTTTAAAAACAATTTATTTTATTTTTAGTAAAATAAACATAATAATTTTACATGTTATTAATGTGATTAGTGTAATTAATGTTAAATTTTTAATTTTGTAATTATTGTATTAATTTTGTAATAAACAAGTGTATGTAAACATCTATTTTATAAACTATTAAACGTAATACCCAACTTAATAATTAAGCTCAATTATAATTTCATTTATAATTACTTGAATATACTATAATTACAAGTATTATTACTACAAATCTCGTTCAGTAAAGACATCCTATGATTAGAATCGGCCGATAATAAGGCTTTTGTAAACAAATCGCTCATTAAATGCAAATTATTTAAACAATTCGTTAGTTTATAAAACTTATGGCTCGACTCGTATTCCGATCGGTATTTAAAGTGGAGATACTTTTTAAGTAAATGTTTGTAAACGTGTTGTTGAAACTCAATCACATCCCTATGGATCAGATGCGGACGATTCGGGTTAAACATAATTATAATGATTAACAAACTGATCACGCTCCAATCGTACTCCCAAACATTGTCCAGAACATTATTAAATATACCATGTTTACAATCTACTGTATTACAGTTTCTTAGCGCTTGAAATAACAACCCAACGATTGCGGAATTATACATCGAGCTGGTCCTATAATATTTAATTTTATTTTCAAAATGCAGGGCCGATAATACCATGCACAATTCAATCGCGCCGTACTTTATAATTGTAATTTGGTCATGCTGAGTTAGGCTTACAAAGGCATCTATACTTGATAATACCTTGACCATTTTGAGGGCAATTAGCTCTAAATATATAGCTAATAATTGTCGGCCGACAGTCTGTGAGACAGTATTTTTGTTGAATTTGTTGATTACATCCAATTGATAGTCGGATGTAATCGTTGGCAACGAATACCTGTTAATCGCGTCAAACCATTCACTCAATCGTTTAGTCTCCATATCATTGAAATAAATGTATAGATATTTAGCGATCGGTCGCTCAATGGAAAGTGAGACTATACTGTAATCATTTTCACCGTGTGTTTGCTTATTGTTAACCAATATTGTATTATTATCATTGGTCTCAGGAGTGGTTGATTGACTCGTCAGCAGCTGTGTATCGGCAGTGGACTGTCTGTTGCGTCTGTTTTCTTGGATCAGATCCAACCTCAATGTCTTCTCGTCTTCAGACAATATCATCTCTTTTCTCATTCCAATAGTAAAGCACTTCCGGAGACGACATTTGCGGCAATGCTTACGACTCAACACATCTATTGTACAGTTGTTGTCATAAATACAGTTCAATGACTCGTATTTGTGTGCATTTCGTTTAAATACACATTTACACGGATCGCATGATAACACGTTGTAATTATTTCCTGATTAATTATTATTAATAATTTATTTATAATATTTTATAAATATTAATAAAATATTGAAATAAAAATATTATTGTATAAATAATTTATTAAATGCAAAATTCAATTTACCTCTCGCTTTGTCTCCACAAACTAAACATTTGTCATTATTTTCCATATTGTGTTTTTAAGTTTCACAATTATTAACTTGAGATTACCGAGATCAATTTAAATATAAACATGAATAACAACAAATAATAGAGTTCTCTGTCAGATAAACATAGTATTAAGTCAGGTAAATATTAAGTAACTATAATGTTGTAATTAATATTTATCTGATTTAATAAAATATTTTATTTTTTTACATTTCAAAAAAGTATCGCATGCTAGATATATTTAAAAATTATTTTAAATAAAATAAGTACCAAGTATAAATTAATCTGACATTGATATTGATTTTAGTATATTGTGATTAATACTCTCCTTGAGAGATTAAATCGATTAATTACACAAATTCAGATGTTAATTTACTATTATAGAAACTTACAAAATATATATTTTATGTTTTAACAAAAACAAGACG